TCAACATACAACTTTGACGTTTAGTGTTTGCCGATCCACCATTGTAATAAAAATCCAATATTTAATATAACCAATGCGACTTTTTTTTTTTACCTCATGACACTTTATTCTTATCTAAAAAAGAAACAACACAGTTGTTATCTTTAGCACTCGCTTGATCTAGGTATTGTTATCAAAGAAAGACAACACAGGATTCTGTCACCCTGTGCATGATGGAGACATAAAAACTGTATCCCCAAACATAACCATCTTGAAATTAACCAGGTGGAGTGTATACGTTTGAAGGATTATAATGCTATTGAGTTTGCTTAAATTGGATGATTTAAAACTCTCTTTAATCCCCTTAGAATTTTATTTCGCAACATCTGATGAACAACATAATTCTCTATAGATAGACATACAATACGATCAAGGCCTTTCCCTAGAAAAAGCCGTTAAATACGAGCGGTGATCAAAAAGTTCGCAAACTATCTTTATATCTACAAAACCACAATTCAGATTAGAATGAAATTCGGTACAAACCTAGCCATACACACGGTCTATAAATAGCATATGCCAAATAAAGTTTCTCTCCTTGTTTTTGATGCCACAATGTGAAAATGACGTCACCATTTAGGTCACTTGTGACGAAAAATAGTTGTCTCAGTCGTACTCGTTCAGCGAACGACTGTACAATTTTTTGTAATATCTTAGAAATCCCTCTGCAGTATCATTTAATAATTTGTACACAGTTTATTGAGATAAATGATTTCCTATAAATTCAATTAATGATTGGATTAATCGTTTTAGTGAAGGAAGGCTGATGGTTAAAAATGATACTTGTCATCCTGCCAAGTGAAAACAAGTTTGAAAAGATATGTATTTTTAATCAAGCAATTTGGTATCAAAGGGCTCAATTAGCACTTTGAAAAATAAATGAATATTTGAACAATGATATGAGTATTAGATACTTAAGATATCGTTTACTTAAAATTTTAAACATATTAGATATGATAAAAAGAATGCACCCATTCTCTATCCATCTCTAAGAAAGGTGTCTCCTGAGTCAGAAGATTTGTGTTTTAATGGTTGCCATGCGTATTTTTGAAAACGATGTTATTATCAACCCATTATGTTGCCGAGACATGACCATTTCTAACAAATTAACTGTTCTTGTCATAAAAATTAACTCACATGGAAAGAAATATAAAACTCGGAAAAATCTTTTAACTTTGTGACAAAACGCTACGGAGGGGGTCACGTGACCGCCAGTATCACGTGATTCGCGCATGCGCAGAGCGGAAGTTTATGTGCATAAAAGTTGTGGAGGATTAATTTGAAAGATAATCAACATTAAAACCAAATAATTTAATTTCTTATTATGAATCATTCTAAGGAACATATAATTTTTTGTATAACATAGCTTGCCTACGTCACAATGAGTTACGTCAAAAACGTATAACTACGCTTGACGTTATTTTTGAAATAATGCTCAAATTGAAACCCTTTTCCGGAGGACATATTTTGTTTCATTGTCTACACTGAAATTAAATTATAAGGAATAAAGCTTATTTCAACTTATGTTATCCGATATAACAAAACATGGGGTAGTTTACGCTTTTTTATAAACCGTTTCGCGGTTCATAAAGCGTAAACTGCCCCAAGTTATGTTATATCGGATAACATAAGTTGAAATAATCTTCATTCCTTAAATATTGTTCCTTGTATGGAAGTCATTCAATGGGTTTGCGAACTTTTTGATCACACCTTGTATGAAGATTTTTAAAGTATTATATATATCCAGTACAAAAGTTATTTAATATTTACAATCCTGACCAGTTTTGAACGATTCCTTTACTGTATACAATACATAATAGTACATATATACGTAATATTTACAAGCAAATTAGGCAAAAGTAAAGTTCTATTCAATGAACGAACATTAACACTCCTCACTTTTTAATGATTAGGCGTAATCTAAAATCTCAATAATTTAAAGGGCGTGTTTGAACCTTGTAAGAAACTAATTTTAAAGCAAAATTGACGACGATGTGATGAAATACATGAATATATAGCGAAACATGAAGTATGCATGCATGACATTACATATATGATTAAAAGTTTCAAACTTACTTAGCATTACATTCTACTTTATATTGTCATCAAAATGTACATGAATGCTTATGTTAGTTTGTCATTATTCTTTCTTTTTATACTTACTTTCGCATAATCGACTTTCAACATCCCAAGCGTAATTTGGACAGCAACCTTTAAAGTATCTATGTGAAAGTTTAAAATATTTATTAAATTAGTTTTAGTAAGTTTGTTAGAAAAAAACGGTATGTTTCGAAGAAAATACACATGGCATAGAGAATTCGATTGATAAATAAAAAAAAAATAATAAAATAAAAAAAAAATAGCTACAGACTTCTTTTAAATTAAGATATGAAATCAAAACAAAAAATTGAGAGGCATATTACTTCCAGGTTAAACGGGTCTGTAATTATTGCAAATTATTTTTTTGTCTCAATTTGCACCCAGAAGCTTTCACTGGATTGCCTTCAAGTCATTTACTCACCCTTTGCATTTTGGAGTAGTTGAACAATGTGGACGAATTAAAATGTTTGCAGACAATAATATGAAAAGGTAACATAACGAAAACTCCATCATATGGGCAAACGTACTTTTACTGTTGTAGTTTAGGTATGTGGGTATCACTAAAATCTAATCTTTGTGTAAAAGTAAACTGATAAAGATTTTCTTCCTTCATCCGGTAATCTGAGCGAAAAACTTGAAAAAATAAATTATGTGAATTAATATTTATTTATTGACAATTTCCTTTGCTAAATACCATCTGTATACATGTAATTATACAGAATGGAAGCAATTTTGGGAAACATAAATATTTCTAGAAATATCTGATTTAAATTCAAAAAAAAAAACCTTAGATGTTTAATAACCTGATTTCTACGATACTGTCGCAGTATGGTAGAAAAAAAATGTCTGGTAAGTAAGTGTAATAGGAATTTTCAAGGTGAACAATTGATGTATTGTAGGCTGTATTAATATTACTGTGTACGAAATAATCACTCATCTTAAAATGATTGAACACAATAATTATGCATTTAATTTCCTTTTACTTTTAATTTTATATCAAAACCGTTATGAATGGCAAGAACAAAACTTTTTTGATGTATTATCTTACACAATCATATACTAGATTGTCATTTCACATACCGATTTTTACAAATACATTTCTGGATTTATGAAAAAAAACCATACACACTTCTTAAAATTCCATTGATTTATTTGAATTGATATGTACTTTGTTGACGATATTTAGGTGCTGTACACGTGCAACTTAGATACAACTGGACGATTTGAAGATTGATCTATCAACCTTGAAGGAATACTGAAAATATGCACGTTTTGGTACAAACTCTTGTATCAATTATAAAAGTGCACTATTAGTTCAAAATATGCTTTTGGGACAAGTAAGCTTTAAAACTTTGTTTCGTGCGCAAGGAAGTTTTTAAAATATAAATAGACGTTAAAGTGTTGTAATTCCAAATCTTATAATATACCCACAAAATACAGAAACAAGCTTGTAAGATAAAAATTACAGGAGAACCTTTTTTTTTCTTAAAGGTAAATGTACCATCTAAATACAAGAACCAACAATTTTTTAACATTGTTCCACATTCCAATTGTCAATGGTAAAATTAATTCAACTTACTTAAGTACATATTTTGATCTCATAGAAATTTTATTACTACTTACTCGTAGGTATTGTATCATTTGTCAGCTTATATTTTTGGGTTTTGTTGTATTGATAATTTAGCTAATTATGTTGGCTTTCTTAAAATGTTGAGGATCCTCGGAAACATGCAATAGGAATGCATCTTTATGTGAGAACATTTTAGAGAGCAGTTACGCTTTGGAAATCATTAGTGTCTCATAGAAAGCATTCCATAAAAAAAATCAAATAAAATTGACTTACAAACTCAGTTCGTTCTTTTTCGTATGAATTATGCGAAACCTTTTATAAAAAAATAGCATTAGTTTGAAAATATTGTAAGACATACTTCTCTGCTGGCACATTACACTCTTCTGCGAATTCGTGCTGCGTTTCATACATATTTTTTTGTTTAATTTTGGTTCCAGAAGAGGATAACTAGTATAATGCTCAAGAAAAAAAAATCTTTTTCTTTTGCAATATAACCGTCATAGTTGAATTTTTTAAAGCAAACACCATATCTTTGATGTAAAATGACTGAATTTTGTTAAGATAAACAACATTAATTTTGGTATATATGAAACACAATGAGTTGAATGAGAAAAAAATAGCGGAAGGGTTAAAGTTTTTGACAAATATTAGTAAGAATAAATTAACAATGTTCTACACATAAAGAAATTCAACGAATATTGGTGCTCATCATTTACTTTATGCTACTTCATGTACCTTTATAAAATCAAAAAGCTTATCAGAGAAAGTACACTTACACGTATGTTATAGATCTTAGTGAAAAAATACCAGTTCAGCACGCATAACCTTTTCACTTTGTCCGTATTGAGCAATGCTAAGAGCATTTGCGCTTGTATGGGACCAATCCTACAGGTAAAACCGCGGTCTTATAGTACATTGTAACTACTGGCCCTTCGGATGAGACGATATAAACAGATATTCCATGCCTCAATAGACACGATTATAGATCTACATTATCAATACAAAGGTCTAATGGCGGTTTTAGCTTTTCAAGAAGGGAGTCTTAAGTCTCCCTACATGTAGCACATGATCTCACTTCTGGAATTTCCACGGTTCCGTGTTTTATGTTCACATCTGTTGAAAGTGAGAATGTTTTTATCATCACCTCTTTATTTGAAACCGTTGACCAGTAGATATTGATGTCTCAAAATGAGCAAAGCATTGCCGAAGAAATGTAAAAAAAAAATCATTAAATTATTTTGTTCTTACCTGAACCGAAGGTTTAAGTAAACTAGACGATCACCTCTTGTCCATTGTTTGATTAGACATTTGTATGGTTACTGTTCACATTTTCGACGTCTCTGAAAATACTGGGCCATTTAAACCAATATTGTATAAAAAACGCGTTTCGAGAGAGTTCGTGTTTCTTCAATATAAGACGAAAGGCCTTAGTTAACTTTGACTAGCTCACATTTATTTAGAGCCCAGTATTCATTTTTAAAAGAAATTTATAGTCTGAGATCAAAAGTCATTTCGTGTAAATTTAATATCCGCGGAGACAAATCTTGTGCTCATTTAAGAGTGAAATAGGTCAAAATAGTATTTGTGTCTTAAAATTTTTTCCAAGGAACCATTTGGCCAAAATAATTATTTAGAAAAGTGATTATGTTCCAGGTTCCTGGCATTGGGGAAATTAAAATGTCTTTAAATCATTATTCCCAGGGAAAAGGAGTATGAACAATTGGGGATGTGCTTTTTTACAGATGTATGCGATTTATAATGAATCATTACAAAACTCTTCCTTCTTAGAGTCACTGACATAAAAAGTCTTCATAAATGAACATCCCTTCACAGTAAATATTCCCTTTTAATCCATGGGCAATTAGGCATTAAAAAAAACTTAATGATGGCATGATAATGATGCAGATGTAGTGCAAGTTAACATTTGATCATAACATATTCCACAGAGAGGAAGAATGGGACTAGAATAGGAAATATGGATTTTATTTTGATAAAAATATGTAGGAGTAAATATATAAAGGAGTTTAAGGCATGTACTATAGTAAGAATGGTGGCACGTATTGATGCAGATAGGTTTATTTTCATGGGTCCATGCAGTCTTTCAACTAGAGATATAGTTTAAACCCTTACTTTCTTGCAATGTTGCTTTTCATACGATTTTTGATATACTCATACTTGTACATGTACTATCTACATGTATATGATCTCAAAGGTCCGTAGCAAATGCTTCGTGAAAACGAAAAAACAGCGAACGTTTTCATCGAATATATGTGTCATTTTAGTATATAATTTACATGCAAAAGTTTAAAATGTACATTGTTTATTGATTTCTACAAATATTCAGAGGAATTGTAATATATGAAAAATGTAATTGTAGACTTAATTTCATTTAAAAGCAACGTGTTTGTACCTCTTTCCTAGCGCCCAAAAAAGGTCAAGCATTCCATAGTTATCATTAATATGCAAAGGAAACGAGATAGATGTACCTGTTGATGCAACGGGACATCCTTCTGAAAAGTGACACAATTCCATCGAACATTGACAGAATCCTTGACACTTTTCTCCATAATAAGGAAATGGGCATTTTGTACAGTTTATTCCACCATATCCTGGTAAGCATTCTAAAATAAGCATAGTTCGTGATAAACAAGAGAAAACTAATTTACCAAAATAACTAGTTTAGGGAGGTTGGATCCTGACACCAAAAGAAACGACAATTGTTTATTTACTCTATTTTAAAAATTTATACACATAGCTTAATAAAGATTCATAACAAAAACAGGGGTAAATGCGCTTCTTTTAGAGCTACGGAGCATTTAGTTTGCCTTTTTTTATTTTTAAAATGTCTTACACTTAAATCAATTTAGAAAGTTTTTCCTTCTATAGTATTTGTGCAATAAATTATGGTTACAAACACATTCCTATTTTATATTTAATTGACACATTAAAATTTGTTTTAACAAAGGAATTATCAAATGCTCAAAGGTCCAATTTATAACCCTTTTGCTCTGAAACATTTTTTGAATACTGATTCATATCTCCATATGTTTTACTCTTGAAATTAATACATTAAATGGAAATTTTTAAGTTAATGAGTGTGTTTGAGTAATATTTATCGTGAAAATGTTATTTCAAGGGTTGATTACAAAATCAGCAAGAGAAAAAATGATTGACAGAGTAAAACTACTTTGTAAACATACGTTGACAAAGGTACAAGTATATTTTATCGTGAAAAAGGTGTCATTTTTAAACAAATTCCTGGAAACCCTGCCCCATCAATGAAATATATGTTTATATCTTTCCCCTTTAAAAAGATCATCAATATTATTGCAATTGTCTATCTCACTCATGCTCAAACTTACTTTTGCATGCTTGACTTTCGATATCCCACGAGTAATCTGGGCAGCACCCTTTGAAACCTCTGTATGAAATTATATATATATTTCATACATTTGAAATAAACAATTTCATGTTAATAGAGATTAAATGATATGCATTGAATTGCATGCATTTTATTGATAGGTGTGATTTCAATTATACCTTTAATGATAACAAATAGATATAAACATACTTTTTGTTATTTAAGATAAAATATTTTTATAAAAGCTTAGATCACTTTAAAATTATAATTCTCTACAGCATAAAGTCAAATGGATTTTTTTTTACTCTCCTAGGTACCAAGGTCTTTCATTTAACTGCAAACAGGTATCATACATGTACACACCTTTCACATACTGGAATGGTTGAACAATTTGAAAGAATCAAACTAAATGTGGACAAAAATGAAACGAATGATTTCTTTGTAATATCCATCACAGGTACAATATCCATGTGCTATCTTGGGTTGTAATACTTATCTAAATGATTAAAGTATTGAAGATGATATTGTACATTTACTTCCTTCTTCATGAAATATAGGAGATATCTAAAATTTAAAGTGTTTGTTGTTTAGACGTGGGTTTAAGCGACAGTATTTGCATGTTAATACATGTATTTCTATCTGCACATTGTACAAAAACAGAAACAGATAGAGTTGATTTTTATGTAGAATTATTTGTCACTCAAAAATGCACAATTAGCATGAAGTTGCTCACTTGGCGAAGTGGTTATAGTGTCAGTGCTAGAGCGCAATGTAAGATGTTGATCCTTATTTCGCGGTTTTCTTACCGTGGTACGTGAAGACTGGCCATATGTATTAAACACAAGAAACTGGCGTCACCGTAGGTGCTGGCACAAACAGATCCCTTAGTGGCTCAGTGGTCCTAAGTGCCGAATCCAGAACGAACTTAACAGCTCGCTACTGGAAATTGGTGGCGTCTCCATACGAGTGAAAAAATCTCGAGAGGGACGTTAAACAACAAAAAACAATACAACAAAAACTAGCACAAACACCTTAACTGATTTACTAAAACAAACCATCTAGGAGTAAATTATAAAAAAAGAAATACATGGCCTTAAAAATATATACATGTAAATCAAAATTTCGTAAAAAGGGAACAATGTGGGCCTACTGTATCGTAAGAGTTCTAAAATGATATGTTCCTGAGTTCAGGAGAAAGGGGCTGAAAGTTAATTTGGAAAGATTTATAGACAAACTGCTCATAAATGGAAAGAATTACGTAGGTGAAAATTTTACCTTGACACCCATTTTGCAATTTATGCCTACATATTGGTTAATATTTAGAGAGGTAAACAATTGAGAGATTAGTCAGATTATTAGAGTCAAAAGAGAAACACCCTTTCATTTTGTTCTTATTTTTGTACTTGTGCATTCAATATAGAACTTAATTATTGGAAAGGACATTACCTTAGGAAGTTATTCTAATAATTACAGAAGTTTTAAATACTTTGTTCATCTTAGCATTTCCTTTAATTTAAAAATTGAAAGAAACTTGGTTGATAATCTTCTGCTTCATTGATTATAACATCTTAATGAGCGTACATTTTGAATGGAACGTAAAACAACATATAATCAGTCTGCTTGATTATAAAAAAATCACTCAATGCTCTACATTTTATAAAGTTCTAAAACTGAAAAGGTTAACGAAAAGTAATTAAACGTGTATTCTTGATATACTTTAAAAGGGTGTTTCCGTAATAAAGTCATTCTAAACATTTTGACTATAATAGAAGAGCTATAAATGCATGTTGATTTTATTATGTGCTAAGGAAGGAAATCAAAACTCGGTAAACACTAGTTTGTCAAACTTATTTTAAAAATAACATCTCAAAATCATTTCGTACCACCCAGAGAACACTTTAAAAAAGAAGGTATACGCACGCACGTGCATCATTTTGTTTTATCTAAAAAGAGACATTTAATGTTCTAAAATATTTTCTGTATAAGAGCCTGAGGACAGTATCATGAATAAATTTACAAGGGCTTTGAACGAATTCATCATTGGGAAAATGACTCAATTATGTTACGTTTCTTCTTTTCGATGATTTCAAAATAATCACAATAAAAAGTAAGACAACTAAATTTTTCTGTTTTTAATTAAAAAAAAAGAACCGATTGATTAACACTTTTCCTAATCTGATTGAAAATGTAGTAATGTATTAATGATACTAAATATACGTTCATAAAATATTAAATACAAAAACCATTTTAGTTGCACGTTAGAAAGTGAATTGTTTTGCTCTTATGAAAGGAAGTCAGGCGCTGATCTTTCGAGGTCCCATGTCACAGGATGTGTTGTAAGGAAAAAGATCCTTCACTGCTCAATGATACTGAGTGCCCAGTATTGGTAAACCGGTAAATTTGCAGGTATCTGACGGCTAGTAATGATGTCTCCATATGAGTGAAAAATCGTTTAAACATCGGCGTTTTCCTTTATTAAAAAGCTAATCTTTAAAACTTAGAATCATTTGGTTGCCTTCTCCCGACTGACTATAAAGAGCTCGCCTCAACTTTCTTTTTTGTTTCCTGTACAGGAATTCTTATCTTTTGTTCCTTTTATGAGGTCAACAAATATGTCGAAATTTTCATCCCCCCCCTACTTACTTACCCTTCAAGTTATTTTAACGTAATCGGAAAATGGCAAGAAAACAGTTTGTTTAAGAAATATGGCATTACATGTACAAAGAACTTTTGTATTGCAGAACCATGCCACATATGCTTTTTTTTAATATACACAGCGTACCTACATATGTAAATTGTTGATTAAATCTAACGGTAATAATACTGTCCTTGTAATAATTTAAGCAACAGTTTGTTGAAAGTCGCACTGCTAAATAAACAGTAAATCACTTTAAAATTGTTGTACTAATGAGTAGATAGGCGCATTCATATTTTCTTTTTCATGTTTTCTTTTTTATTCAATTAGGGTTGAATATGTTATTAATCTATATTATGTTCTTATATATAAATTATAGCTGTACAAATTTCATTAATGTATGACACTTGACTCGATCATCGACGACTAAGCCAATGTACGGAATTTTGAGACAAAACACGTAGGGATTCCACTAAATGCTGATGATATAAATCTACTGGAAGGCCCCTTAACCCTCTTTAAAATATTATTGATATAACAGATATTTTGAATAGTTAATGATGGATTGAGGCGGTCTTTATTATAGGTTATTTTTTTTCTTTACCAACGAAAACCAAAACGTCTGCTAAATCATTTTCATATATACAAATGTATATATACTATTTGAGCACCGACCAGAGAAAGTTTTTAATAGGTGTAACTTGTTTGGGTAATAATTTCATATATAATCCTCCGGAAGAATATTTATAAAAAAAGAAACGCTTTATACGTCATAGTCAATATACTTTCAGTTGTTCATTGTATGATTATTTGTTTCTGTTATTAACTAAAGATTGAAAGAAGGTATGATCAAATCTCACAAACATTATAATCTAGGTCCATTTAACAATAAAGCATTTGTCAATATACATTTTAGAATTGTAATATTGATAAAACATGAAGATACAAAACTCTCTTTTAAATAAAATGTAGCCGCAAAAAAAATATTTTAAGTGCTTTATGGGTACATTCTAGTGAATTAGTTTAATATACCATTTAATGATTGAATTGAATTGGATTGAATGTCTCCTTCTGTAAAAGACTCAATTAAAGAATAATCCTAAAAAGTACTTGGACACAGATTTGAAGTTATTTTTTTTTCTGTATAATATCACGAATTGTATATTTTAATAGCATTTCACACACACATTAATAAAAAATCTTATTTCATTTAAAACTTTAATATTTTTGGCGGATTTGATTGGCACATCCTTGTACATTCACAAATTCAAACTTTATTCTTAATCCTTAGAAACTTTGAAACTTTAGTTTACTATAGTGAAAACTTTGGTACTTTAATTTACTACAAAGTGAAAACTGTGGAACTCTAATTTACGATTGTGAAAAAAATGGAACTTTGATGCAATTATGTTTTTGATCACCATTTTTTCATATTCTTATGATATTAAAAATTTTTGATTCGTATAAGATCCCCCCCCTCGCGTAATAGTGCAATAAACATAACTTTAATTTTTATGTAAATTTCTCTTAAACCGATATCTAAACACTATGAATTTAGATCCATTTAATTTAAATATGTAGTAATAGTTTTTCTATGATGGAAAAAAATAATATACTATTTTAAAAAATGCGTCATTTAGAAGAAAAATATGTGCTTCAATAACTTCAGTCCACGAGTATTTTCAGTAATTTTATTAATGAGTAAATATTGCATTTGAATAAACTACCTTGTATATTCATATCAAGTTGTACAACAAAAAAATCAACACCAGCTAATCCCACATCACCCCCTTCCCCCGTAAAATGTTCATTAACTACATTTTACAATTGAGCGAATTGTAGACAATGTCTGGTTAACATTGCTTTTTATACTACATGATCTGTAGAAAGTCCACATGCACGGCTCTAATATTTCGACGTATTTGGCTACAGTAATTAAGAATTTTCGGATTTCGAATGTATCAGCATGGAATCACTCGAGAGACATAATTTGCATCTAATTAATCGAAAGTCGCATCTGATACATATAAAATGTCTGACGAACATTGTTTCACATACTATATAATCTTTTATGAATGCATATATATTTTGTAATATGTAAAATGAACCTAATATGGTATATGTAACCACATTTTTGCTTTCAGGTGTATATGAATTTCAAAATTTTTATTACCAGTTTTTTCATAAAAACAACCCGTTGAAACATCACACGTGTCTTTCTCGCAGTCACATTTTGCCTGACAAGCCTCTCCATAGGAAGGATATGGACATTTATAAGAACAGTTTATTCCAATGTATCCCGGTAAACATTCTGAAATAAATTTAGAAGGTTTTAAGTATGTCTAATTAAGATATTAACAATAGGAAAAAGTGATGAAATATTTAGATAAAAGAATGAAAATTTTCATATACTGCAACGAATGGATATTGCATGCGGGGCCACTTTGTAAATAGGGGTATCATCTGAATGTATATAAAGAAAATATGTTGATCTTGTTTTTCTTCCATTAAAAGAAATTCCAATTTTCTCCTAGATAATCAAACATTGACTTACTTTCACATCGCTGGCTTTTTATATTCCACTTGTAATCTGGACAGCAAAAATTAGGGAATCTATTTGGAAAATTTGAAATAACCAAAAGCTACTATCCATTATAAAGCGCAAAATTTATAGAACCCATAACACACTTTGTCATAGAATCTCTTTAAGCCTTGGTCATGGTTACTTTATCAACATGTTTATTATTTTGAAAATGGCATTCTTAAACCCCTGAATCCCAAAGATTATTTTCAGTGAATGAAAGATAAACGTGTTTGAAATCTCAACAATGACATATGCAATTAATTCAAAAGTAAAATATATATTAAATTTTATAAAGTCATACCTTTAAGAATGTATTATTTATGGGTTGTAGTGCAACCAGTAATAGAGAAAAGACCTATGTAACATATAACAAAGGCAAAGTTTCATATTTGTTGACAATTAATGGCTGCCATGGTATCAATACAACTAAATGGATTCTAAAATATTATCGTTTGAATAGTTCAGCATAAGTGGTAGCAAAACGTCTTTTTTTGTGGGAATGCTTGTTTGTTTGTTTTTTCCATATATTTCATTAAGATAAATACGCATCAAAAGCTGTTGAAAACCTAAAGATCTGCATTATTACCTGCTGATACCATTCAAACAAAGACACATAGCAATTCAATTTTAGGTATATGTTGAAGTAGTAATAAATGTCAAACTTTCATCGAAATAGATGGCCATTGTTGGTAAAGAATGTTAAATGGTTACAGGGAATTGCTATCAAATGATATGATTATGTTTAATTTAAAATAAAAATGAGTTTAAGTAGAAATATCCACGATCTTTGAAAATAGAGACACAAACAAGGTCTTTGGATTTAAAGAGAAATCTAAAAAAAAAATATACATACCCTTCACATTTTGGAATATCTGAAGAATTTGTACAATAAATAAGGAAAGATGTCAGTGGCATTAAGAAAAATAACACGTAATCCATCAGAATCATAAAAATAGGGGAGAGGGTGAAATATCTCTTTAGTAATATATGTGCATCAATTCTGATAGATCTTGAATAACAAGGAAGCTAAAATTTCCCTTTTCCGGAAATCATAGAATAGTTAAACAATTGAGTGCTGTTTATTTATTAAAGAAAAAAGAAAACAAAAAAAAAACCCAAAAAAAAGCGACGAAATTGTACAGATACAGAGTATCTTTTCACATATTTGTCTTTTTAAAAGGAAATTGATTTTGATTTTGATTTTTTTTTCTCTATATATTTTAATGTTTTGATCAAGTATTTTCATGGTTAATTAAATTTATAATTCTTTTTATTTGTTTAAACCATTCTTAGAATTTCCATTGATTTAATAATTAATTTCATAACCATTAATTTAATAATAAGTTTCATAACCATTTCATTTCTTTTATATGGGAAATTATTAAATAAACAGAGATACATGTATCACTATTTATTCCGTTATAAGGAAATAGAGCAGATTTTAGATTTAACTTGAACAGATGTTTGAGATCCTACTATCCGATTATGAACGTTCTATTGCATTTGATATATATGTACATTTTACAGAAAAACAAGCATATTTCTCTGAGCATAAGTATTTTTTAAAGTACAGATTTATGAAAATAGTCCATCATGTTGTTGAAAGGTGATCAGGTCTCTTAGTAAAGCATTTTTAAATTCCCAAGAAAGAGGCTAGTCCTCGAAAGACGATTCAATTAGGAACGCAATATATAAACAATAACTGCTTAATGATAAGTCATTCACATAAGCAAATCAAGGTTGACAGATAGACAGATCAGGTTATGGATAGGATAGGGAATGGATAATTCATAAAAATGTATGAAATAGAAATAATTGGTTTTTTTTAATACCTACTTATATTAAATTGCCCTTTCAGGGTTTTATGAACATTGAATCATTTTGTCGTGTCTTGAAAACTATGTATTTTATAAATGTAGAAGATCACATTTAGAAACACTGTTACTGTTGTGCATTATTGAGAGGACATTAATGAAGTGCACCAGCTGCATAAGTACTGCACGGTGTAATACACTATGCAAGGAAATTTCGAAATGTGTTAAGGACAGATGATACAAACAAACTTTTGTCAAAGAATTTGAAAAATGAGAGGTTGGGTCATGTTTGAATATGTAAAAATGATTAACTTTAACCGCGCAGTTTTTAATTTTTTATTCTTTGCACAAATATGGAATTCGAAGTCAAAAATATTTGTATCGATTGATAAGGTTGGTTTCAGAAGGGCATATGTTTGAACATCACAGAAGGTTTACAATTTTTAAAAATTTTTTTTTTTTTTTTTAGAAATTTATTATTTGTATCTTTTGCTTTGAAATTAGGCCTGAACATATATATATACCAATCCAGGCATCCATTTTTTGTTTGTTTGTATCATCTGTCTTTTAACTTATTGAGTATTTTCGATGAGTTGATAATGCTTTGAATATTGTACTCTCTCAGCTTTATATTTCCTAGATTAGGCAGTCGTATGGCAATATGCCTAGAGCTGATCCAGTTGTCGAAAAGGGAGGTCAACTAAAAAACTGTAGAATCGCCTTATTGCTACTTATATTGGAATTTTCATTTAAAAAATTAATCCATTAGCTTTAAGGATAGTGAGGTTAAAACAAATGCAATATGACCGATGTCTGATTATTTGAGATTTGAAAAACAATACTTGAGCCCTAATCATTTAAATTCGAGGTCTGAAGTCCAAAATATGTATTAATACTGCAGGTTAATTGACTGATGTTTAGGCAAAAGTATATGTAGAACCATTATTTTATAACCTGCAATATTGGAGATTAGCTTCCTTCCAGCAGGTGGCATACTTGTATTTGCATAAGGGAAAGACGGCGAATTTATTTCTTGTTAAATAATAAAAATAAAGAGCAAAGTACGTTGCGAATTGCTTGTGTAAGAATTTTAAAAAGGAATAATTCAGTTTGGTGAATCTTTCGTTGTATATGCACAAAAGCCAAAATTGTTATATTGATATTGCCCTGAACAACTGTAGCTGGTTGGCCATTTTTATTTCGAAATTGCTATATCTATCTAGCACAAGGTGGATGAAAACGTTGTCAGAGGATGTTCACTTCTCAAAAGCACATGACACCCACTCTAATGTTTAAATGAGGTTCGCAGTTGCTTTATTACCCCGGGGCCCGGCCCCTGCTTGAAATGCAGGAGGGTATATAGTGATCAGGTTATTCGTCCGTTTGTACGTCCGTCGCTTAAGAGTACCCATCTTTTATCCGCAACAAATTTTTACCACCAAATGAAATTTAATGAGACTTTCACAGAATCTTTTATATTTGTTATGAAATGCCATTGTGCACCTTCTATTTTACTTCTTGATCGGACACATATTTTTAATTTCCCTGGGGAGAAATGGACACGGTACCGAAGGTGCTGATCTTTTATCCGCAACTCTGTCTCTCCTCCGATACAACTAAATAAAACTTCATGATTCTTAATGCAATTGTGTCCTCGAGCTCTTTTTTGCTTTTTGATCTGAGAAATATTTCGGGTCACCAAGTGCAAAACATAGACTATGCCATTATTATCATATGGAAGGTGTTGATATCATTTAGTGAGCTCATTGTTAACAGTACCTTTAATTTAAATTTGTATTGTTTCAATTATCTTTTGAGTTTGATGTAACTGTTTCATGCATCATTTGTTCAGGCGCCTACGAGGGCCTAAAACGTGTAAGTTTACATTGAATTATTATAAGAATTAGCAGGTATAATGCATGTATATGATGATAATAGGTATCACTCTTCTAAAACGATTTAGTAAACATTGTGCAGTTTCCTTTGAAATGATTAATTCTTTTAAATGAAAAAACATCGAGTTTATCAATACACTCTTTCTTCATGTTTGCTATAATGGTTCTTTCCGTTTACCATAACGAGCCTCCATACCAGTAACCATGCAGACAGAAATAATCTATTTCTTGTTTAATTCAATAAACCCTTTCCAGTTAAAGTTGACAATTGTAACAAGCATTAATTTGTGCACATTAATGAACAATAAGTGAGATTCAAACAGGCTTATATATTCCCGCAATCATCGGTTGCTATGTTAAAAATGCAACTTCCGTTAAAAAAGAGTGCTCGCATTTTCAAACGCAACGGTAGAAAATTTATTAAAATTCAAAACATGCAAGCATGACAGTTTTTGTTCATTGTAATACCCACCATGACGTGCGGTTCAAACGCTTTTATGGTATCGGATGAAATTGAGGGTATCCACGACTGGAAATATAGCGTAATTTCACTATAATAGTGAAATACCACTATTATAGCGGAATTTACGTTTCCCCCCAACTGAATAAGGCCTAATCCATAAGTAAATCTCGGGAGGATATCCTTCTGTCTGACGTCAGCGAACGGGGATTATATTGGAATTGACATAAGGGATTTGAATTCCTTAAATATACAAGAGTAAACACAGGGCAATAGAAAATGAAATAAATTTTTGGACACAAAATGTTATATATTTTAGAAAAAAATGTGTATATTTACATGTACATAGCAAATTCTACGTTAACGTCCCCAAATTCTACAAATTCAAGATCAAAAATATACCTCACGAAAAAATATCAAAAATAAAATAGTGACTGATTTGATAGACCAGCAACCCGTGCTACTTTATAATCTATTTTGCATGTTTTAAAGAAAAAATGTACGATTCATAAAAATTGTTAGCCTACATGCCATGTACCTCACGGCGCAATCGCCGACGTCTTTTTTTATACCACTGCTTGGAAAGCAATTAGTAATCATGATGTCCGTCCACCTGTCTGTACGTCCGTCCGTCCGCCCGTCCGTCTGTTACTCTTGGGGGTACCCATTCCTTTTCTGCAATTCTTATCATACTACTCAATGAAGTTTGATGAGACTATCGCAACATCTTAATTACATATCGCCACTGTGTACCTCCTAATTTACTTTTTGATCTGGCACTAACGAGGGGTTATCAAAAAGTTCGTTGATTGGCGTCATAAAATTGAAACTGTTTTAGGCACATCAATGATTTTTAAAATATCTAGTTAGCATCATCTTTTCTATCTAAAGAATAAAAAAATTAACATGAATCATAAATTTTATATTTAAAAAAATTAGTAATGTTTTTGTAAGCAATGGTACATGTATGTCCAGGTGGCACAACCTCAAACACGAAGTTTTTGCGACCTATGTGCAACTGAGAAAAACTCTTTTGATATGATCATTTGACATCCAAAAATCATGTTAATTCAGGTATGATTCGGGACACAATTGTTCCGTAAAATATGAAAGAAAGTGGGCGCTTAAGATGGCAATTCAGCAGGAAAAGTGGCTCATAAAAAGAATAAAAAAAAATATCATTGATTTATACATTTTTTTCAAAACATAGCCAATGAATGTGTTGTAGGTGAATGTAAAATGGGCAAATATTCAGTTAAATATGTTTGATTTTATTTGAATATGCACTTGAATATAGCCGTAGGAGTCAAATGATGCAAAAATCGACTCTTTTATAGCCGTGTTTCATTAATTTCGTTGTTTCTGGGTCTTCTCTCCATGAATTTTAAATGTGTTATCGGTGTATTTTTAACCGTAAAATTTATTTCAGTTGTTTAAAAAGTGGAGAGACGACCCAGAAATACCAAAATCTAAACTTTTTCCATTTATTTTCTGGTAGAAAATTGACCGAGTCCAATTGTATAAGGCTTTGGCTTTAAATAATGATTTAAATACTAGCTACGTATAGTGTCCCGCGGTAGCTACATTGGTTTGTCGCTGGATTCAAGTTATATTGAAGCAGCATTTTAGGTTCGAATACAATGATTTTTATATTTCATTTTTTAAAAAAAATCTTTTTTCTTATAATTTTTGAATTGGTACTGAAAGAATTACTCTTTGAATAATGTTACTAATTATATTTCATAAATTATTTTACATTTATTGTTTTTCTTTTTCAATGCGTTCACATTTTGTTCATTTTTAGTGCTAACGTTCCCAA